TAAGGATCAGGCCCGGAGTTCCCTGCGGAGCAGGACACGATTACTCCATGGCGGGCCGCGCCAAACGCACCGATGGCGATGGAGTCTCGGTAGTAGGCTGGAGGATAGCCATTAGAGCCGACGGAGAGGGAGATGACGTTGGCTCCGTCTGCAACGGCCGCATCCATGGCGGCAAGGATGTCGGAGTCAAAGCAGCCGGCAATCCAACAGATCTTGTAGGCGGAGATGTGGGCTTCAGTGGCGATCCCTCGGGCTTCGCCCTCGGCGTAGCCGAGGAAACCAGCACCGGAGACGGCTGCACCTGCTGCGGTGGAGGCTGTGTGGGTGCCATGTCCTTCGGTGTCCAATGGTGATTTTGATTCCCGGGTCTCGTCGATGGAATGGCCAAGAGCGGCCTCATATCCCTTGTAGAAGAGCTTAGCGCCGACGAGCTTGTTGCTGCAGGGACCGGAGGCGGAGGAGTTGAGAAAATCGCAGGAGGCATGGAAGGTGGAAGGAGGAGAGGATATATTGGGGTCAACGAAGGAGCGAGAGTAGGGGAAGATGCCGGTGTCTAATACAGCAACGACGACGGATGAAGCGAAGGAGGATTGGGGCCAGAGGCCAGAGGAAGGTGTGAGGTGGAGAAAGGAGGGAGTGTGGGTGGTGTGGAGGAAGCGGGGTCTGTCGGGGATGACGGCGAGGATATGGGGAAGTAGGCGGAGGGCGGCGGCCTGTGTGCCGGTGAGGCGAGCGGCGAAGCCGACTGCGACGTGATCGTAGGTGTAAATAATGCGGCCGATGGGGCGGCGGAGGTGGCGGGGGAGGGAACGAAGGGTGCAGGAGTACCAGTGAAATGGGGTGGGGGAAGTTGAGGGTTGGAGGGAAGGGGAGACATGGATGATGTAGGTGGAAGGGTGATCGATGAATGCGTTTGGGCAGGCGGATTGGGAGAGGAGGAGAAGGAGGAGGAGGAGGGGGTTGGAGAGGCGTTTCTCCATTGTTTGCTCCGGCGGTTTGGGTGAAAGGGAGGTCGGGTTGGGTTGTTTGTGGGAGCAGGACGGGAAGGGATATACCCGTAGAGGGAAGGGGGAATGTTTTTTTTTTTGCATCTGGTTTTGGCGTTAATTACGCCGATGCCATCGTGTCATGAAGCGTACGCTTACAAGTTAAAAAGGTTTTCTTATGGAGTGGGTGGTGGGTGGAAATTGTTAATCTAAGCGCAAATTATCAGCATAGGATATGTTTTTTTTTTTCTTGGCAATTGTCCGCACATTAATGTTAATAAAGAAGCCCATATTGACAAATATATCTCATTACAAAATTCTACATATTTTAGGAAATTAGTTGATATCAAAATTTTATTATTCGTTTAAGGGGTGGCCAGATCGCCCCTTATTTATTAAAAATGTCAGTCAATTAATGACATGTCGCCTCCATCACTAAATTTATCATGGGGCCACAAAGGACCTTTGCTCCCACCATGGGGCGCAACGTAAAAATATTACATACGTAGGAGGTGTTGAACAGTGGTACTGGGATAGCATTGATGTTATTGAGGTGATATTGAGGTGCAATATCACATTAATATCACCCTAATATCACAGTTCACACGTATAAGTGTTGAACAGTGGTACTGGGATAGTATTGATGTTATTGAGGTGATATTGAGGTGCAATACCACATTAATATCACCCTAATATCACAGTTCACACGTACGCCCGACATATGGAATATTAGCTCCCACGTTTACATGGTGGGATTTGCAATCTTTCTCTTTTAACTCCATTAGACCATAATGTATGCAAGCAGGGCTTCCATAATGATCATTGGGCTGTCAATGAAGCGAGCGTGGATTTAATTTCTCTACTAAAAATTTAATTTTAGCTCTGTCCTTGCAATGAAAGGATTATCGACAAAGCATTTGATAGTCATTTGTGTGATGGATCAATGGGCTTTGCTAAATTGAGAACCAACAATATTTATTAATTGGAGTAAGGTTTTGAACTTGATTTTACAAATCATAATGAATCGATAGATTTAACCTATACAACTTTGAACTGTCTTTCTAGTCTGTTCGATTTAAGTTTGAAATCACTTATGTACAAAATAACTAAAATTCATATTTGTTGAACCCATTTTTGTTCTTGAATCATACCCAAAGATTTAACATGGACACACAGATAAAAGAAAAAGTAGTAAGATATGTCAAAAAATTTTATGTGAAAAAATTCCAAAAAGAGAAAAATATCACATAGTCTAGCCTGATCAAATTCATTCACTATATATTTTTAAATATGGGGGTGCGCCCTTCTTTTGCAATAGTAAAAACGGGGTTATAATTTTATACTAAAAATTATGTTTGTCTTTATACAACACAAAGAAATATAATTGATAAACACAACAATCGTATTTTGACTACAATGGTTCCAAGCAATAGTCATCGATGGGCGGTCATCGGTTGTGACAGGCGAGACAGTTGACGGTGGTCGATGATAGCCGATGAGCAATGGTCAATAGCTATGAAGGCGGATGATTACTCGTCGGGTCTTCTTTCCATAACAGATTCTAGAATTTCAATTCCTTGCATATTCTTCTCCCCTCCAAAGTACAAAGAGGTAGCTTATTTACAATCTTTTGGGGTGGGGCTTTTTGGTCTTTTGAAAGGTAACTTCTTTTACCACCTGATTGGACGTTCCATGCTGATCCTTATTTTTCATAGGTGTTTTTTTTATAAATTTGGGTCCTTAATAACTTTTGGGGTGACACATCAAGTATCATTTTTTTTCTAATTGGGTTGGACTAGGGTTGTAATCAAGCCAAATCGTCGAGTTTGGGCGAATAATAACTTATTCGTGTTCAGTTTGAGCGTCAACCAAGTTCTTACATAGATATTCTTACTTTATTTGCTTAAAATTTTATTGGTCATATTTGATTTCTAATTGGCCTATTTATATTAGTTAAAAGAACTAAAAATTCAAATGAATACTTGAATTTTTATATAAAATTATTTACTAATAATTTTATAAATTTTTATTATATATTAAATCGGGCAGCAACTTTATAGCAGTGATAAAATATAAATTTAAAGCTGCAGCTATAATTTTAATAAAGAGAAAAAGCTTTGTTAAATGGTGTCATGCGTCTTTATGTCAAGACATAAGCGAAGGGGTGGTCAATTAGGGAAGACCGAACGCGTGACGACACAACACCCTTCGGGGGGGAAATTCTGTTCTTCCAGCGAAAAGCATCCACGAAATCATCACTACTGATCATTCTTTATGCTGCAATACGAGAACCTCTCCTCCACGTTTCCTCCAACAGAATCATTTAATACAACAAGCCAATAATTTCTGAGATGTTATATATTTGTATCATAATAATAATAATATAGATAACAGATTAAATGTAACTGTTCTCTGCTTGAATGCAAAAATCTATGCATGATGCATTTCAGAGCTGGATAACCTCTCCATGCTTTGATGCGGATATTTTGTTTGGCAATTAGTTCGATAGGATGTGGCTTGACTTCACCAACTTGAACTCAGCCTGTCCAAAAGATGCATATCCGCTGCCGAGAATAGATGCGTTGGTGGATTTGATGGTAGGCCAATCTATTTTAAGTTTTCTTGACGCTTTCTCCGGATATTACTAGATTATGATGCATCTCGCTGACATCGAAAAGACCTATTTTATCACAAGTGAGGGAGTTTATTATTATAATGTAATGTTCTTTTTGCTCAAGAATGCTGGGGCGACATACCAGGGGCTCATGAATGTAATCTTTGCGAATTAATAGGAAAAAAAAAATGAGGTGTATGCTGATGATGTGTTAGTTAAGAGTCGGTTAGTCACACAACACAAAGTCTTAATAGAAACTTTGCAAACACTTAAAAAAATTTTAGCATGAAGTTAAATCCATTGAAATGTACAGTCAGAGTCTCAATTGGTAAATTCTTGTGATATTTACTAAATCCCTAAGGCATAAAAGTCAACCTTAAAAAAATCCAAGCACTCATTGATATGCCCTCCCCTACAAAAACTAAAAAAATATAAAAGTTAACAGGCCAAATAGCAGGACTAAGCCGATTCATTTCAAAATCAAGAGACAAGTGCGTCCCTTTCTTTAAATTACTTAGAAAAATCAAGTGTTTCGAGTGGACGTCTGAATACGAGAAGCTTTTTCAAGCCTCAAGCAATCCTTCGCCTCTTCTCCCTTGCTTCAGAGCCTAAAACTAAAGAAAAAACTCCCTTTACTTGGGGGTCAGCCTGGAGGTCGTTGGTTTAGTTCTGGTCCGAGAAGAACTCAAGAAGTAATACCCTGTATACTACACCAGTCGAGCCTTCAGAGACACCGAACTTAGGTATCTGATAAAGAAAAACCTAACTTATGCTTTTATCATTTCAACGCAGAGGCTTTGACTGTACCTCCAGATACATCTCATACAAGTTGTCACCGATCATTCACAGATATCTGTCCTCACTCGACCAAAGAATTTCAGTCGACTACTTAAATGGGCAGTCGAACTCAGTGAATTCAACATCTCCTATGTCTCTCAAACAGTGATGAAGGCATAGGCTATCGCCGACTTCTTGCAGATTTCTTCGAACCACTGGAAGTCAGGGAAGAACTGGCCATCAACAAATTCATATGGACTTTGTTCATGAACAAGGCCTTTAGCCAATCTGACACTGGACTCAGGGTGTTATTATGCAATCCAACTGGAGAAAATATCTACCACTCAGTTGAGGTAAGGTTTCAATTTATTAACAACCAAGTAGAATACAAAGTCTTAACCGCAGGTCTTCGCTTAGCATCCAAAATGGGGCCCATCCACATACAAGTGAAGGCGGACTCACAGCTAGTCATTAACCAAATCAACGGAGAATTCGAAGCAAGAGATGCGATGATGGCAACATACTTCGGGAAATTAAATGTTGAATCGACAAATTCATTAGCTTCAAAATTGAGCATGTTCAAAGAGAAGAGAACTAGATCGCTGACCTCCTGTTCAGAAGTCTTCGTTTAGGTGAGGGACAACCCCAATGGCTTGATCGACCTACCCTTAAAGAGCCACTGACGATGGAGATTCACGACAAAGGAAAGAAAATCTGGATGGACCCATACATTTGTTATCTAAAAATAGGAGAAATCAACGAGGAGGTCACCAATAACAGAAGATTCAAATTTAAAGTTGCCTAATACCTGGTGATTGAAGTAGAACTTTTCAGAAAGTCAACCACATCCTTATATTTGAATTGCATTTGAGAAGATGAAATTGAAGGTATTCCTTAGGAGGTCCATGCAAGGGAATGTGGGAGTCATTCCGGAGGAAAAATACTCGCACACCAGATTCAACGATAAGGATACTTATGGTTTGAACCTACTGAAAGATGCAAAAGGGTATTCTTGGAGGTGCGTATAATGTCAAAAATACAGTCCACTAAGACATCAACCAACACAAAAGCTTCACCTAATCGTCAGTCCTTGGCTTTTTGGTATATGGGGTGACATGCGTTAAATTTTCATACTTTTTTATGCTTTAATTTTAGTAATTTTTCACTTTAAATACATGATTTTATGCTTTTGGAATGTTGGAATTGCATTTTGCAGTTTTTATGAAAACTAGCACGAAAATCAGAGCAAAACGAGGAATTTCAAGAAAATTCGTACAAGCATAGCCACGCATGGAACTGGCGTGTCCACGCCACTTGAGTTCCGTGGTGATGCTGATTTTGCGCGTGGTCACGCCCAATATGTTGTGGAGACCCGAGCGATGGAAGGACCGAGATAGCCACGCCGAAACGTGGCATTACCACGCTACCCAACCCGAAGAAGCGATGTAATTATGTTGCGGTGTAGTCACACTAGTGTATAAGTCCTAGTTTAGAAACTTTTTAATGCAGGATTCTGACACATTTGGGAAGAATTTTGAATTCATGTTATAAAATCATGTAATTGGGAGATTTTGGGGAGTTTTTTGGAGGGGGGATTGCAGAAGAAGGCTATGTTTAGAGAGATATTTTTTTTCTCCTCTCAGTTTTTTTCCTATTTTTTTGAGAGAGTTTTGTGATAGACATTGTGTGTTGTTCTTGTAAGGGAGGAGATAGATATAAGGGCTACAAGCTATTTTTATCTCAATAAAAATGTTTCTTACAGGTTTTATTTCAAGGAAATTGCCTTTGCTTTTCTCTCAAGCCATGAGTAGCTGAACAATTTTTAGTGCCTCATTTCTCGTAT